TACTATATAATTATATATAAAATTACTTATAACTGTGTCCTCACTTCATATATAATTACATCTTATATTTAATTATATGTAGAAAATTTTTTATCGGTACACGTATGTGTACCAATAATTTTAAAAGTGCTGACTTTAATACATACAACGTTTGATATATTGAAAACGAACTAAATCTAAACATAAAATTATTAATTTAAATTCTTACACTATAAATATCTTATTTTTGCAGAATAAGTTTCTCACAAACTTTTGTACATTGTATTCTCATTGTCAATTTATTTTTTGCATACTCATTTATATGCTTCTTCTCTTGCTGTCAGACTCGTTTACTTGCTCGTACGCTGAACTCGTATTATGTAACTTCATTCTTCACTTTCAGTTTAATGATTCAATTTTATACATCGTTTTCTATAGACATCATTACTTTACAATCTATCATTTAATACTAATGGTAAATTAATAATTATATTAATCGCATCAAGAATAATTGCTAAGTTAATATTATAATTGATAACATAGTTTATTATTATGAAATGAGACGGAATGAATAATTATCATGATCATCACATTTTAGTTATGTTCAATTACAACGATGACAAGTAATATTACATGCTATGAATTTGGCTATACTTTAAAGATACTAATTGCTTTTCTACATTATTAATAATCTTCCAGTCTACATCCTGATAAAATAGAGTATCGAAATCCTGATGATTCATCATTGCTTTCAATGTCTTTTTTGCGTCGTTCCTGTAATTAACATATTCATGTGATTACACATGTTTGTTTTATAAGTATGAATGTTTTACAAATTTTACGAAAATGTAAATGAGTTAATTTTAAAGATATTTTAATATTGAGATTTGCAATTTTTAATTTTTAATTAACTATGTGTTTGCTTCAAGATAAACATCTTTAGCATCTTTGTCAAAATATGATATATATATATATATATATATATATATATATATATATAATAAAATAATAATTTAAAGAATTGAAAGAAGTTATGTAGTTATATAGTTATATATAAAACGTTTGTATTAGTTCAATGATACATTTTTAATTAGATGCAAAACAAGAAGAATACCTTGTTTCTATTATTACCATCGAGAAGAAACTTGGCACACATCATGAATATCTTACGTCGGGTATCTCTGAGATTTGGATTTGATAATAAATATTCTACTCCAATAATGTTAATAATATTATAAAGCAGCCGACTCACGGTTGCTCTTATCAATGGATTCTTGTGGCTAGAAAAGATAATGTTAAGAATTACACGCGAGTCTATGATTTACGATGATAAAAGTAAGTAAATAATTCCAATAGATATTATAAAATAATATGATTATCCCAGATATTAAATTTATCAAAAGAAGAAATTCCAACTGATATAATAAAACTATTTAATTATCTAATATTATATCAAAGATGAAATAAAAGATGAAATTAAAATTCCAATCGTAACTTTAAAGTATTATAAAACAATGTAAATATCCAAGATCAATTTAATTTTCAATCAAAGATCAATTTAAAAATAAAGTCTCCAATCACCTAGCACCATGTTCACTAGTCAATATTCGTATACAGGTTGCAGGAGGTAAATGCGCCACCATGGAGTCCAAGGCGCATTGAGCATCATTTCGGATTCCCTTGTTCGTATGTGTGCTCTTCAAAAGCAGGATAGACGCAAGTTCGTCGACCTCGGGCCTTTGTGTACACTGGATCATTTTGTAGAATTCCATCGCTATCTGGCAGGCAGTTCTTACGACATTCGGTCTTGTGTTTCGCAGTAAACTATAATACAATGAGAATTACATTGCGACTTGAGAAAATATACTTGAAAAAATATACAACGAAGAAATATATAGTAGAGATGCTCAAAGAACCTGCACAGGGTTCGGTATATCCGAGGCATATTGGGATCAAGTAATTCCGGTTGAATCCTCGAAACATGTATTAACTTTGTCAGTGCCGATATATTGCTCTGCCATTGATCCTGTTTTAAATTCTGCATTGCATGTTTCAGTGTTTCTTGCGGACTTGTAAATTCCTTCGGTGTTTCTGCACAATCATCTTCCGGCATGAATGCATAATCGCCATAGTTCATCGCAGGACTAACATCTTTCGGATGTTTACTGTGCAAAGATAGTACACATATTTATACACACATAAATAACATATTTAGCGTATTATTATTTAAATGTATATTGTATAATTTACTAGTAACTTGATTTAAGTCTTAATATTGTGTCTTATATTGAAATTTTAATTACGTAAATACATTAAGAAATTGTTAAATATTATATGTACCTGTCAGATAACGTGGAAAAATGCAGGTCCCCCGAATCCCCGGAGTGTGTCGCTTTGACAAATTGCGTTTTTGCAACTTGCACGGAATTTGCATTCTCATGCTGAATAGATAAGCAGGCTGTTTCCATCGCCGTACATGTAACAGACTTACCTTTTTTTTCCAAGATATCTTTTTTATCACGAAATAAATACTGACGCACGCAAAAAATATTTCATAATCGGCTGAACGTTCATACCTGCGCCTTTGCACATGGGACATGTAACGTACTTCTTGCAATCCGTATGTGCCATTTTATTATAAATTTATTGGAGCGGACAGCGACACGACACGGAGATTGTGTTTTACAGGAAATCGATTTTTTTTTAATGCTGCAGGAATTTATTTGCTTTATCTTTGCCTCTAAACGTCCATTTTAAACACGCAAACATCGTTTGCGTAACATAAAAGTATTGCGTCGGTATTTAGATAAGTTCACGTCGATTAACACATAAATTTACATCGATGCCTGATATTCGCGCGTAGCAATTTTCACCAAAACTACTGTGTCACTCCTTTCAACAAATCGATAGAAATAAAAGTTATAATGGGCATAACATGTTACTTGCAAAAGATAGCAACTAAATATAATGATCATTGAGACGTTGACAGAAAAAAACAGCGTGCGTTTTCTTTGAAAATAATTTTCTTACGATATATAAGAATATGTACATCATATATTATTTCTCTACATTATATTAATTATAGATTCTATCTATAATTAAAAAGCGATAAAGCTATAAAATGTAGCACAATCGTATCCTAACGGATACGAAATTGGTCCTAAACCGCGAAATAACAAATGTTATCTCGTCTTGTCGTGAGAAAGCGCTTTCTGCTGATTTCTTAGCCGGCTAAAAATGATCCGACCTGATGACATGTCGTACATCATCCAATTATTACATAATACACTTCCCAATTCAATTTAATTGAATGTTCGATCGAAGGATAATTCTGGCATATCTGTCATTTTTCTCACTTTATCGCAAGTTCTATTTGACAGAACTTTTATTAGAACATCTTCTTTCATTTTGCAGTTTCATTTTGCTTTTTGCACTTTTGTTTGTCCCGCGAATAAATGAATTCGACTATAGTTGCTTTCAGTAGCGTTGCCCAAGAAACGTATGAGCTCCGTGTATCACGATGATGGTTTTTCCAGCGAGATATTATAATCCAGATGATCGCAATGTATAGGGCACTGATAATACGACACGGCGCTAGCGTGGCCGGATCTCCCTGATGTCATAGGCACGCCTTGGATCCACTGGTCCTGAGCTGGATCATAAATTTCTACTATGTTCAAAAACGTCGTGCCATCGTATCCTCCTTGAAAAGAAAGAAAACCTATACATCAGTATGCTTAAAAAAAATCATCATACAAGTCATACTTTATTTTCTTTATACAAAGATATTTACCCATTGCATATAGCTTGCCGTCGAGGATAGTAACGCTGAGAGCACTACGAGCAATGGTTACACTGCTAACATTCTCCCAAACGTCACGTTCCGTGTCGTATCTCTCTACCGAATTTAATTGCGATTTGCCGTCGTATCCGCCTATAACGTATATATACTGGCCCAGACTGGCCACACCAGCCCCCGAACGACTACACTTCATTGGCGACACCATTGTCCATTCGTCATTCTCGGGATGATAACACTCCACCGAGCTAAGCCGGTCCTTGCCGTCGAAGCCGCCGATCGCATACAACAATCTGTCAGGAATGATTGTTTCACATCATACCATAAACAGACTTGGATTTATATTACACACAGTTTCTTCAATGAATATACAGAATATTTTTAAATAAGATTTAAAAAATATGATCTGTTTATATTTGAGAAAAATGCTAATATCGCGTGTGTTATCCAAAATACTATAGTTTGTAATGAAATTAGCATTCTAAAGGCAGATATGTAATTTAAATAATTTAATTAAGTAATTTAAATGTGAATTATTTTGAAATTTAAATCTATTTTAATCATATATTTTGATATACACGACTATGCAATTAACATTCTTATCATCCAGTATTAGTGCTATGATAAGCAATACCTGTTCACTACCGCTACTCCTACACCTAATCTCTTGATATGCATAGATTTCACACTAGTCCATGTATCTTGATCCGGATCATAGCATTCGACACTATTATGATATTCAGCACCTGCACTACCACCCACGGCATATAATAGGCCGTCCATAACAGCGACTCCCACCCTGTTTCTTGGTACCGACATCGGGCTGCATGGTCGCCACTGATCTGTCATTGGATTATATCTGTCGACCCAATCGCTATCGTACCTAAGAAAAATTATATGATTATTTCAGCTATAATGTCTGCATAAAATAATTTGTGTTAGAGTAATCTGTCAATCATCATCTTTACTGCCTAATAACTACATTTAATTTATTACAGAATATCTACACAAATTTTGAAAAAAATTCCTTAATTTTTAATCACTTTTTATTAAAATTTTCAAGCAAAATTAAAGTATCTTTAAGTATAAAGTAAAAGTGAAGTAAATGAAATGAGTGAATTTCATATTTCATTTTCTAGTTTTTATTTCTTATTCATATGATAATGGAGAAAATTAAGAATTTCACCGGAATATTGAATTGGAAAAATTACAAAAAAAATTGAAAAAGATTTTCTTAAAATATTTCACATTACATCAAAAAATCTTACTAAAATTCTGTTTAAAAAATACAATACGAAAATAGAATCTGTTAACAAAAAACGTAGATTTCACTATATCACAGGGAACTTTTTTTACAAAACGAATCTGAAAATCTATAAAACCAAGACTTGTTTAAAAATTTTAAAAATTCCAACGAAACTTATATTTTCTGATATCAAAAATAGCACTTCAGTACTCGCAAAATAAAAATAGAATTGAAGACACAATTTGAAAACAAAGGTCCCCGAATACTAATAAAAATTCCCCAAGAATTTCTTCATATACCTTCAGGTAGAAAAACTTTCTTTTGAGAATTTGGAGATTTTCCCAACTTTTTCAGGCAATTTTTTTGTATTATTATAATTTTGAAACATCAAACACAGGCGTCCAAGTGCTAACCTGCTTCCCGGTGAATTGTGTCTGCCACCGACCGCATAGAACATCCCCTTGAGAAATGCACCGCCCAGACCAGATCTGGGAACGATAAGCTTGGCGTGTTGCGTCCACGTCTTGTCGTCAGCGTTGTAACCTTCCAGAACGTCGAGTGAGTGCTTGAAGAAACCGCCTGCGATGTATATCACCCGCCGCGTGTTAGGTGTACGCTCTTTCACAATCGGTTTCTTATGCAGTGTCAAATCCTTAAAAATCTGCGCCAAGTATTCGCGGCACGCCGGCACCTTCTTCAGCACATCGCAATTCTTCATCTGCTCCCGCAAGAAGTTCGGCGTGAGATATTGGCAGCGTACCGCGTGCAATATGTGCTCCATCTTGGGCCGCCTCGCCTCTTCGTTGTACCTGACCCACTTGAGCACGGCGTTGTAGACCTCTCTTTCTTCCTGCACATTCAGCTCGTCCTTCCTTATAAGTGTCACCAATTGTAAAGCGGATAGTTGTAGAAATTCCTCTTCCTGACATATCTGATTAAAGTGTTGAACAATGAATTGATTCGCCTTATGGTACAGATCGTGGCAGCCGTGTTGCTCGGCGAAGTTGGCGATTCCAATCGCGTTCGTGGGATCGAGTTGCCTTTCCAGAAAAACACTGCACGCGTCTATCACATTGCTGACCTGCAATCGAGACACATAAATAAAAGTATTATTCGCCGTTTATTATCGATATGACTCTTCCTTTTCCGAAACGTTTTCTTCTAAGAATATTCATTTATATACTTGGAACATAGTAGCTGCTGACAGCAGCGAACACACTGTAATCTCAGTAACTCTTATTTGGCCGGTATACATGAAATACATCAGACGAGCCATCGTGGTCGGACAGACACCTTGGAGTTTTACCCTCGTCATCTCGCATTCCTTCAAACCTCCAGTGAACATCGCCTGGAATTTTTAATATTATATCACACACACATATATATAATATTGATATCACACTTTGGACTCGGCATGAGATCACAAGACAGGCGAACGAAACACAGACTTTGACAACTCACCTTAAAATAGGGACTAGCTGCTGCTAAGATAACTTTATGCGCGTGAAACAATTCGGAACCAACTTCTAATATCACGTCAGTCAGCATATGATGACTGCGCATCATGAACATCATTTTCATGGTCTCCTTCAGATAGTTGGCCATGCAGAACGTCATGTCCCCGAGGTCCCCCCGATTCCGTTCGGTGTTGAGCATGCCCTCCCAATCCGTTTCTTCCCCCGACACGAGCGGAGCAGGCTCGGGTCTTCCCAAGGCCGGGGCATCGCTCCGGGACTGGAGGCCGCCCCGGGCCTCTTTTTTCTGCCGGCAATCTTTCTCTCCATCCATTAAAGTAGAGCTGCAAAGCGACACGGAAAATTGCGCTTTTAGATATTTACATACTTCGCGTCATTGCGCGCGCGCACGCGGAATCGAGTGCCGAAACGATCGTATCTCCTCCTTTTCGGAGTTAACGTCGCGAACTGGATTCTATCACTCACTCTCGACATGAGGAGATCGCGGGAATTCCCGGGTCACGGGAGTTACGGAAGCTGCCGGTACGACGCGCGTCGCCGCACGCACGTAATAAAGCAGCGTAATCGCGCGACGCAAGCTAACGCGTGGTATCGCGGGAGCGTCGCACGTGACCGCGAGATGCTTCCAGCGGCGAGATTCGCCGTCGTTGTCACCGTCATTGTCGACATTGTCATTGTCATTGTCATTGTCATCGTCATCGTCGTCGTCGTCGTTGTCACCGTTCGCGAAGGCGACACCGCCTCTCCCGCTCGCGCGTCCACGCTCGCGGACGCGCGCTCGCACCGCACACATGGTTGGGCACTTACCCGGCCTGCCAGATCGCCAGGGCAATCTACTTGCGTCGTGGAATCACTGGGCGCGAGAGCGAGACGGGAGAACGAGGAGGCGGCGCGATCATGTTCCGCGATCGATCTCGCCGATGATACGCGATGACGCAGGCATCCTCCACCTCCGGCTTCGGCCCTGCTCCGATAGATGCGGCGTCACCGAGCGCGAACGGACCGGACGATCGCGCGCGCGTTCCTGTCGGCCGAGCGGGCGGAGGGGCGGGTGGACGGTCCGTTGGTTGATCGAGCTGCAACCGGATGCGCTCGACGTACGAGCGATTTGCATACGCACGTGTTTCAGCACCGACGATCACATACAGTAAGATCTAAACGCTGTCATCACCGCCGCCGCCACCATCGTTGCCGTCGCCGTCGCCATCGCCATCGCCGTCGCCGTCGCGAACGCGCGAGATCGCTTTGTCACGATTTGTACCGTAGATATGCCAGGGTACCTTTGTCCGCGCAGCTGATAGCGCTCGGCTAACGCTGCCTGACTGGCTGGGACTTAATAATCCAGCGCGGCCCTGACGGTGACTCGGTATAATAAATACAACAATGAATTGAGCGCGGCTCGGCTCGACTCGACTCGCTCAGAAGAAACCGGCGCGGGCGCGCAATCAAGCGATTCTTGGGGATTGGTCCCCCGACGGCTTTCGACTCCCCGCGATGATTTTTAGCAGTTCCCCAATTCTTTACCTGCGCTCTCCCCCTCTCGCTCCGATTTAACGATGATTCTGTGAAATCGGAGATACGGAACGAACGCATGTCGTGGAAATCGTATCCCCGCCCCGAAATCTCTTTCGAAATCTCCGGTTCCTCATGTCGATGATGATAACGTCGCGTCCAACATCTTGGCCACATCGTGACAGAAAGAAAATTGTAAGAACGAAATAAAACGACGGAATTTTTACTTGAAATTTTGAGGGGAAAGTGTTTCCCCTTTGGTCTCCAGTTTTTTTAATTCATATCCACGTTTCGGTAGAAACGCAGAAGATCTCTCTTTCAGCCGCAGATTCGATCTATTTTTCAATTTTAAAAAGTTTCGCATGGATTTCTTAAAATGAAATAGATATACATGTATTTGAACCTTGACAAAAACGACGTGGAAAGTTTGCAATCCAAAAACGAAAAACAAACCTATTAGGAAGCCGGGGAACTCCCCGGGAATCGCCGATTTCTCGGAAAATTTCTCGGGAACGATAACAACACGGTTACGTCAAAATTCGTCTCTCGTCTCAGCCAGGTACAATGGGGGAGGGATTACGCCGCCGCGCGTCCCCGTTGCCCCGCGGCCGTGGGGACCGATCGTGAAACAGCAATCGTGACCGTAGATGACTCGAATGACTTGCAAATTCTGCCACGGCTGGCTCGCCTCGATCTGGCTGGATTCGCGTGCAATCGGACGAACGGTACTTCGTCGCGCGCCCGAGTCAGCTGGGCTGCGTTCGGATTTCTCATCCGGATACTCTTTTTCTCTCTTTATTTCATTCTTGTATCTCTTTCACTCCAATACAGCGAGTTCACTCGGGTGGAGAATTGGAACGCAGCCCTGTTCCGCATCCGCGAGGTCAGAGGGACAGAATAGGTTGACCATTCGATGGTTTCCGACGGGATACCATCGATTAATCATGACGATCTCTCTTTTTCATCTCTTATCAATCAAAGAGAAAACGACGGAGAGAGAGACGAGGAAGGGAAGGAGCGGGAAAATAAGCGCGACGCTGCGTTCCCACACAAAGAAGACGAACGTAGTAATAAAAAAAAGTTATCTGTAAAAGAGGGGACATCTGTAGGGAGAAGGGGGGAGAGGGAGGGAGCTATGATCGACAGGATCATAAAACGCTTGGATCGGATAAAAAATCCTCGAGTATATCGTTCTCAAATTCATTTATACGAATCGTTGTTTCAGATTATGTTTTCTTCGATGGATTGTCGACAACGAGATTTACGACAGTTTACAGATGAACGAGATAAAATTGTTTCATGGATCTTGGAATTGGGACACGAACCGCCCTCATACGGTTAACATTGAAATACTCGATACATCGATCCGTCGATAACGTGAATTGTTGACATTACGCAGCCTTGTTTCGTTTTAAAGATTTTCTTCGAATTCTAAATGTTGATATTCTCTTTATATTCAACAACATTTTTGTTACGGCTTCTCATTGCATGTTTCAAAAGTAGAAAATTTTGAACAAAAAATTTTTGAATATAATATGAGATATGTCTCTATAACAATCTTTCTATTACAGTACATTTTATCTGAGAAATGTTTTTAGGATATAGAATCATCGATGGAAAATAGAAAAATTATCGTGGAAGTTTTGAGCAAAAGATTATAAAAGGAAAGAAAATAGAAAATCATGTAATTTTTGACATATAAAAATGTCCTAAATTCTTAGAGTGATGTGTAGGTTTTATCCTTTTTTTAACTTCTTTTTTTCAACACTTGTCCGAATATTTTTTTTAGTAGAAAATAAAAATTGAAAAACTCAAGTAAATAAATTTATTTTTATAATTTATATCTCTAAAAATTTTCTAATTTTTCTATTATTTTTTAATTTTTATAATTTCCCATTTTATTTTCCTATTTTCTATTTTTCTTTAATCTTTTGCTCGAAACTTGCCGTGCATCAACGTTCTCAGAAAATATTGCAAAAATGAGAATCATTAAGCTAAAGTGAATGTCGATAACAACAAGAAATAAGATGATAATGACTATGACGTAAATTCCTTATTTTTCAATAAAAATTTATGTAAATTAATTCTTGAAATCTTTTTTCCAATTATATCGAAATTTGCTTCTTGCTATTAAGTTAAAATAAAGAAGAAGAAGTTATCTTTACGTTGGCTAAAAATAAATTGTTCTATTATTATATTTAAATCTGTGTAAAATTTGAGCACAGATCTTTTATTGGTTTTAAAGTTATTTAATTTTTTTAATTTTGATTCTTACATTAAATGCGTTTTATAGTATTTATATGTGCAAATTTAATAAGAAAATAATGTTATGAATAAATTTTTTTAAAACGTAAAAAATTTAAATAAAATTTTTCACATATTCTAATAAAACTAATAATAATAATTATTCATGTAATAATTATTCATGTAAAAATTCAATCAGATCCATTTAAAAGTTATATACCTAAAACTGCAGTAAAATATGTATAATATATTGTAATATAATTATTTGTTGTTTTGACTTTGTAATTGGCTTCACGGCGTATTCAAAATGTTCTGTCATTAATTAGAAAAGAAATCTATAACGAACTTAAAGTTTTTAAATTTCAATAATTTTTATCTGGTATTATATAACCACATCTTTAATGCAATAAAAAGTATTCATTCCCCTCGCTATACATTAGATTCTTTATCTAACAATTTATTTGCACATTTGTGTCTGATTGCTTCCATCCGTCTGTAATTCACAATCCTTGACTGTTCTTAAAGGAGAAAAAAGATTACGATGCCTTGCATAACTTTATGTTTTTTCTTTACTAGGAAACAATTCGTTTCAATTGCGTTGTTGTGTCTGCAAATTTAATCTTTCGATATTTCATCATTGTTTATATTGATATTGATAATAATTAATTGAACGTTTCAAGGATTAGTCACAGAAGATAACGGAATAAATCATTATTTGTGGCGAGGAATGCATTTTGTTTTATCATTTTACAAAGAATTATATCTGACTCATTTTTGGTTGCTTTTTATAAAAATTTAAGCGATTTCACATACTTTTTCCAAATATCTTGATTACAAAAGATAATAACTTTTAAGATACTGACAATCATACTTCATCCCATCCAGTTTTCTCGATATTTTTTGCAGCAAGTCTTGATTATCAATTTTCCGGGAATGTGAAATTTTTCACTGTTATTTTCAAGTGTTATCTAAAGTCTAAATTACGATCTGTGCAGATACTCTCTGTGTTGTTGAAGTTATGATAAATCCGTACGCTTTATTTAACAATGTGCAGAAGCATAATGTGATGCACTTCGCCGAGGAATTCAAATGGGAACTGAAGGATACGTCCGGGAAATGCATGAACGTTGGTTCTGGTTCCGGAAAGATAACAAGAAGCATTCTCTTGTCAGCTGTTAATCAAAATGCAATGATAACAGGTGAGGGAGAACAACAGATCATGCACGAAAAGAGTAGCATCATTTTTGAAGTATCTAAAAATTTAATCACATACAAATCTGAAAATAACTTCGATGGACCATCAAGATAATTATGGATAATTAAAATAATTAATTCAAATTGATTGTTGGAATATAAAAAAATTTTGCAATTATTATTATGCTTAGATATTTTACATAATTATTTTGATAATTATATATCTCGCAAAATTATTTTCAGATCTAATCAAATTTTTAAATACTTCAGAAAAACATTCTTTTCGTGGAATCGCATGTTAATTCATTATCATTATTATCAATTCAAAGTCGTGTAATACACAAAAAAAGATTGACGTTGAGTCAATAGAATCAAACTTGTTAATTTAATAGCAGAATTAATTCAAGAAATATATATTCATTGATTTCATTAGTATCATTGAATCAAGATTATTTTTAATTACATTTGTTGATTCAACGTTACTTTTTTCCATTACATAGTTGCATGAACCCAAAGAAAAGAATATTATGCTAATTAAGGTATCTTAGACATTTTTTAAACAAGCATATTGTTTGCGAACATGGATGCTTCTGAAAACATGGTTGAACGCAAATAAGACACGCGATATCGACGAAATACTCAAGTTCGAAATATTGGACATTCAAACGAAACACTTGTTCGAAATATCGCTGAATTGGATCACGTATTCTCATTCCTCATTCCTCATTCAAAAAGAATGTAAGAATCATATTTTTACGATCACTAGGTCTTGATTATTTTTTAAAAATTTATATAAATTTTTAAATTTATATAGATTTATATAAATTTAATATGCTTTGTTTGTGCCAATTAATTATTATTAGCTAGACGATTGTACTTGTGTCAATATTCCAATATTGTGTCAAGAATCCTGTACATGAAGGAGAAAACATATGCAATTATGAGGAACTGATAATGAATCTGTATAAAATATTGAATAGTACATGGAAAAATGACTGTTGCAATGATATGGCTAGTAATTATGTATGTATCATCGAAATTTATTATTATGAAACTCATTACCAGCTTGTATGATACTGGTCAATACTATATCATTATAATATATATATTATATAATATAATATATATATATATATATATATATATATATTA